GGTGGCGCCTCATAACAACACCATGAGGCTTCAGTCACTTAGTCGGGCAAATCGAAGGTCAAAGAGATTTAACCAGCGAAGAGGCGATTAATCTGTCAGAAATACTGGAATTAAATGTAATCAGACGTTGAATTTCCAACATCCTCACGTTCAGGTCAGATCTCAAATCCTTACTCTATTACTGATTTACTTAGACTCGTTTCTTTTATATTGTTTGCCCTTACTTGCTCTCAACTAGAAACAGTAAAAGTATTGATGCATGCATCTAAGCATGTATTAGTATAAATATATCTCAGATGAAAAACACAACAACTTGTTAGATATTTAAGCTGACACTTATGTTGATGTGCTTCATCCTTTTAAGCATTAAGTTGTTTCTGGTGGAATTAAATTCCCAGAGATTTGCCGTTATCTGCATGCTGCTTTTTAATTCATACGAATATACACATGTAACCTGTTCTAAAATTATCTGATATACGAAATTTATTTAATTATGGGACTATTGATCATCCCATCTAAATGTTGGCCTTTCTTTAGATCACATTGAATTTTACTTAGTCGCCTTTTAAGCTTCAAACTTTAGGTCATAATCATCACTGAGGAGTCCTAAGGGAAAAAACAGTTGTTCGCTGCAGTTGTATGCATTGGCTCTAATGTATCTAACTCTAAAAATCGTGCTATTCGCTCGGTGTCCTTTCTTTGAACGAGTCATGTTATAATGTCATGTGCGCGATTTGTTATACTTAAGTCTCCGAGCTTTTTTCGCCGTAGTACGACTTCCTTTTCCCATGTTAACAACGTTATGTAATGTGTTATCTTTATTCAGGAGCTAAAATATGTCATTGAATGGAAAATAATTCCATAATCACATTTCAATTTGACGACGTCGAAGATACCATAAGTAACTTCGGTGATTTTGATTTCACGTTTATTACCGAGAACAGTTTATCTTATAACAATGATGGATTACAAATTAACTTGACAAGATCAACTACATGTTACATAGATATCCTTATTCAATCTGCATACACACACACACACACACACACACACACACACACACACACACACACACACACACACACTCTCTCTCTCTCTCTCTCTCTCTCTCTCTCTCTCTCTCTCTCTCTCTCTATACACTAGCTTGAGAATGTTGGTAAAGTTTCAAATCGGTATAAAACGATATTTGTCAGCGCTTTGTACTCAGAATGACACATGTATATATGTGTGAATTCATTTAGGTATGACTAATTAAGATCCTCACAGCTTTATACTTGCCTGTTGATCTAGCTTTAGTCGTTGAACGTATTAACTAGTATCCCTCATGGCTTATCAGACTAAGAAATTCATTACTTTGTCGACTGTTATTCCATTCTATATATCCAGGCTAACATAAATGATCGACTGCATGTATTTGTATAATACACTCTAAATTTAAAGCAATGCCTGCCAATAAGACGTTGAATTTTAAATAAAGACAATTTTCAGAAGACCGGGGCATTACTAAAGTAACATTTATTTGATGACACTAGTAGAACGTTCACCGGAAAGAGACTTGGACGTGTTCAGGTGGTTATTTTGGCATTGAACCGAGATATTAAAGTGAATGACTTATTTCTACCACTTCATCTAACAGAAATAATGATATAAAACATTAAGGTTTATCCTTTTCACTATTCTCTTCGCCGCCTTAGCCTTCAGTCCGTCACCATCTTCCTTTCGGTTTCGAGTTTTCCCACGTGCTTTTGATAGTGATATGAATGGTATCACAACTAATTGGCAAGCGAGATACAGAACAATGAAATATGTTAATTTTTAAATATAGTCTTTGATATCTTCTTTCCGGTTCATTTATGTTACCAGCAATTATGCCTTTTATGTAATTCAAACTTCTTCCAGCGTATTTTTGGTTCGATCCGATTAGTGTAAATACGATATATTTCAATAAAACCTTAAAGTCACCTATACAAACATTGGTATGTCACTAACAGTCACAACAATTAGGATCCAATTTAAAAATAATTACTTAACCAAACCACTGTCATAGATACCTGAATAAGTACGTTTTTTAAAAGGCTTTCCTATTGTTCTGGTTGCTGCTACCTAGTCTTACTAATTAACATTTATATTAAATGTCGCAAAAGCTATTACGTACCGCAATTTACTTAATTGTATAACCAGATAACATAAACAAATTTCAAATACATTTCCACTTAAAGTTGGCACCATGTCAGTTAAAAGGACAAGAACAACGAATCGAACTTAAAAATCAGTTTGTTGGTAATTGAAACATCCTTACCAGAATAATGGAACATTCCGGTAACTGGGCACCATATGTGTTATGAACAAGTTTCATTTGTAGAGTAGGTTAAGCAATTTTGTGGCTCACAAAAAAATCTAACCAGCATTTATACATGTAGGTAATAAATACCTGTCATTATAAAGTTTATATGTTTGTCATAAGTGTTTAACACATAAAAGAAAGGGATGAAAATATAAACTTAACTAGTGTATTTATAGTGTAAATGCGTTTTCTATTATCACTAGCTTTAACATTTGGAAATCGGTAACTAGAATACACTTGACAACTTTGAAAGAGAGTGCATTCTGTAAAGGAAAGCGGCACTAAAAATACATGTTTTGCTGCATTTGGGATAAATACATATAATCATGTAAACAGACGCTTTATAACCGATATGCATACGAACTGATACCCAGAGAAAAGCTTCACCCTTTAAATGATTCAGAAAAACATACAGATAGTCAATGTAAACAGAAAATGCTATTGAGAAATTATGTAGAAATTCTAATACACGAGAGTTTAAATTATACAAATCTTTTATGTCGGCAGTGAATACCCGACATGACATGTTAAGTAAAGACGGATTATCTTTATTTAAATGTTAATTCTGCCCACATGGATTGCTGTTTTCTCAATAAGTTACTGCATTAAAACCGTGTAATATGTGGACCGTAAAGGATTTGCGATCTTAAACTAATCTGGTGGAAATAGAACCGCTAGTGATCAGATTCACATGTGTTAATGTCAGGGGTGATGATCATTTCCTTAAGTAACAGCTTACTTGTGTGTGTTTATGAGTGATTAGCATTCTATACACGTGATCTGTTTACTTGTTAAGATATCTTCGTTATTTCATTATAAACGTCTATCAATTTCGGCTGTTTTTAATTATTGCCGACTTTCTGTATAGAAATTGATTTCAGAAGACTATATCTATTCAAGCTGTTTTATATGTATTTATTTTATAGAATAATGTGTACCGTTCGTTAAGCGATCCCTGTAAGCAGACAATTGTATCTACTATATTCACATTGACGTTATAATTAAAGGGTTTGGCATTTAATTTACCACAGTCACCTTGTTATCATCAGCTACACCCATTACCAAATATAGATATTTCACATACGTCTCCACACCGACCTTTAATCAAACTATTTATCAATCTTAAGATTTGTAGGAAACGACCATACGCCAGCTTAGTTACTTCTTTGATTTCTGAATACCAGAGAGCTATCAGCTTTCAATGACACGGGGCTAACTCATAAAGTTAAATGGACAGCATTTAATTCTCTCGATCGGACGATTACCTAAAGAGGTCATAGATCATTCTGTAGGTTTTGTCCGTGATTGATATAGGTAGTACAGTTCTAATCAAGCTGTACACTTCTAAGTCAGTATGATCGGAACGAAGTCACCATTGTCTTTTTGCTTCGAATTATTTTGTTTCAAAAGATAAACAAAATACCATCCAATTTGAACATAGAATTTGTTATTATTAATATATAAATACATAAAAACAACAAAAGAATCGCCTAGTGCTATGTACCCTTCCTCATTATGTTGTCGGAATTTATACAGAATCAAGTGTCAAATATGTATAACCTATGTCCAGAAAAGTACATATCTTCATTTGCCATATCGAGTGCCTTTTTAATGTTTGTGTCTCAGTAAACATTCAGATATCAGATTCTGTTATTTCATTGTTCTTAACAAATGTGTATTGAATGGATTAATGGAAATAAATGCTGTTGTTGGTGAGTTTAAGTTGGAAACCACTCTGCTATTATACTTACGTAATTAATAAATATAGTTTCTATTGCAGGTGGTAGACACTGCTGGTGGACTTTTAGTCCCCGTGGTTTACCGTAACCTCCATGACACGCTTTAATTCATTCGAATAGTGGCGAGGTTAAAAATATACACATGTAATTGATATTGTTCTAAAATTATCTGATACATGCAAAAAGGAAATTTATTTAATTGTTCAGTTAGTGTATCTTCCTGTCTAGATTTTGACCTTTCTGTCGATCACTTTGGATTTTCTTCAGTCGCTTCCTAGATTTCAAAATTTAAGCCGTTAGCAGCACGAACGAATCCTAGAAGTACACAACTGCTGTATGATGTAGTTAACAACATCTGAGTTCTGTATCTCTGTGTTAATAGGTGCTATTCACTTGTGTGTCTTTTGTACAGTGATATTTTAAATTTAAGCAATACCAGAATTCAACCAAAAGGAAAACGTATACCTTGAACAATCCGATGGTTTTATCTACAAAGCTTTCATAGCAGTACAAAGTTATAATTAACTGAAATGTTTGAATCGTCCTTTTGTTCATTTCATACTGTTAAATTGGTATCTATGTTATATCTTTCAAATATCTGAGAAACGTTCTGATTCAAGTAAAGATGAATATACTATGTACATTTCCGCGGCAAATACAATCACCTTGGACGATCTGAAGCAAGGGAGAAATGTGTAACGACAAATATTCATGTTCTGGTGGTATTTTATTATACATTTTCTGTAACAATTTAACAATATGTAGTTACATTCAAATCCTTGGGCACTTCCGGACCGAGATCTCCTATGACAACCACCTATATAAAATAGGTGTATCTCAGTCACTTTTGTTATTTAATATAGAAATATATTATGAAAAACTTCCAGCTAAGAAACAATTTCTTCTGCCCTTTTCAGACAACTGCCTGTTCCGTAGTCCGTCACGATCCAGTACCCATCGAACGTCCAGATCCGGAACAAAATTTCCATCCTTACGACCAGGAAGGGTAAGTTTCTAATTCTTCTATTCTCCTTCGGTTTTAAATAAACTTTGCTATTGTTTTATGTACTATGTATATGACGTAACGTGTGCAATATTCTGTGTCATGATGAAGAAAGGATTACAACGAAAATTTGACAATTTACTTAGCCGTACTGTGGGTATTACTGCATTGAGCATACGTTTATTCTAAAAATACCCTAAAAACGCGTATGATTCGTCATGATAACTTTATGTAGAAATAACAACAGTCCTGATTGTGGCAGTAGAACAACTAGAAGAGATATAACGAAATATCAAATTAATTCTAAAAAATGTACTCGCTGATATCGAATCTTAATTTAGTAATTCAGTAAAATAGTAAACGTTAGAACATTGTTGTTTGATTTAAACCATTTTTAACAGACGTAGAGATGGTAGTGCTAGCATATATAACTGGCCTGTACAATCATCAACACAGTATGATACAATTTAGGAAGACACCTTGTAATATAGCACTAATTAGCGTTCAGTGACAACTTCAGGGTCGAACCATAGCCTAACAAAAACACAAAATGATCTTAAATGGTTAAGTCTCAAATGTGCACTACTTTGAACCTTATACCATTCATGTCCTAATTCGAAAGACATTTAAAACGGTCTTTGCTCTTTATGTTGTAAATATTCAAATTAGCATTGAATCTCAAGTGTCACTGATAAAATCGCACCCAAGATTAATGTATTTTTATATGACCAGTGATTTACTTATGATTGTTAATATTTAAACTAAAATCATTTTCGTGACTTGATATTTTTTATGAAGTACAAATTTCGTGTCAGTGTTTCAAGCACACCGTGTGATTATGAACGGGTGATAAAGGTCGATTTCTAAAACCGTTACTAACAGAACATGACAGTGGTAGTGACAGGAGTGGATCGTTATAGATTTAAACTAGACACTCGCGATTATGTTGAGCGATTTATTGTTTGAAGCTAATCCATGTGTAATGTTTTCCGTCCATCTTTTGTCGTATGTGTTCGATTTTCCCGTGAACACTGCCGGGTACAATACACTTAGTAACCCTTCCTCGAGACAAATATTGTTATGTATAGCGGTGGAGATAAGTATCATTGCGTGCCATCACTTTAGACAGATCAATCATAAATACGCGTGTAAACAAAGTGTGACATCCTCTGTATTGTATCCATAACCACGATACTTCAGATGTATATAAAAATAGAAAAAAATTATAAATTAACATATTATACAACAGATAAGTTAAGGATTTCAGATTTAAAACGTTGGACATTATGTAATAATGAGTGAGATTTTGAAAAAATTGTCAATCAAATATATCCGTGTTATGCCAGCGTTATCGAGCCATTTCCTTCGCAGTTGATGCTTTACATATTTAACCGCTGATTGACGGTTTTAAACCAATTAAATCGTTCGTTAAATCGCAAATACTCTTCAACTTGTGGATTAACAAATTTTTAAATAATCGAATAAAACTGATATTTCAAATCTTTCGAATTTTTAATTTTGTTTTTCAAACGAATGTTGAGATTTTTTGGTCAGAGGTAAGTTAACTACAACCAGTCCTACCAGAAAAAGCTACACTAATCGATAAGTGTAGTCAAAGGGTTCTATCTCTACGGGAGAGTTTATTTGTTTAGAAAAGATTTTCTGTTTCTGTTAAACATGACCTTCCTCAAACCACTCGTCCTATCTGACCCACTCTTCTTTCACGATGTTCGTTATCTTTGTACATGCACTTATGTCGCCTACCTAGGGAAACAAAAATCCACCTAGCAGAAATGCTCGGTAAAAGTTGACAGATATGAAGTAGAACGACTTCGCCTTAATGATACTTTAGTGATCTATCCTTTTTGAGTCAAATGTTTGCCCAAATATCGTGCTTAATGTTCTGACTGGAAACCATGTAATCAGACGACGGTCGTTAAACCAGCTCGTGTTGTCTTTAACATTCAAAATATCATAGTGACTGTTTGGTTATCGATTCGGCTTATCTCGAATCGTCAGCTGTATAGAGAAGGAATGCTACCATAAGCATGTGGACACTTCCTTAAGTCTTTACCTGACGAATTCTGATATAAAGATCTGTTTCAAGTGTCGGCAAACTATTCAACGTTACATGTTGTCAAAAAAGTTCCAGTTTTATTTATAAAGTACCATCAATTCTGAAAATAAAAAAAAATTCTTAAAAAAGATTTGAGATTTAGGCAAACTGTGTAGGGTTTTCATTCGTTTTCTCCTCAATCGCTTACTCTCGTGTTAATTTGTCAATGTCATCAGTAATAAATGTTGATATTTTGTGAAATTTGAAGCTTTGCATAAAAATCATAAAAATTACGTAATGATCACTGACGGTTTTTTTATTCGTTCAGGTTAAATTGTCTGTAGCACTTGTTGAAAACGGATAAAAGTATTTTTTACTTACTCACAAATCAATATCTAGCATATGCATATTGATTGTTATATTATGCAGAGCTTATAAAAAGAATCCGACAGTCGTCTTTCATCTTTAGATTCCTATTTTTTGTTCAAAATGTACGAATACAAGATGTAGCAAAAAAGTAAGATCTCAGTTCTCCAAGTGATACTTAAAGAATCTGTGGTATATAAGATCAAAGCGAGTAGATCAATTACGTTAGTTAGTGCCTGTTACCAAAGTCTGGGCTTCCATTGAACTGAGAAAATCATTAACTATAATGACTGCTAGTCATAGCGAAATGCATGTCCATCAATGCGTATTGAGGTTATTTAGGCATGAAGGAGCTACTTGAATAATATATATGACTCTTAAGACAGGCGTAAAAGATTGTCAACTTTAAAAACGGGCAACAGAAAACGTAAAGCAATCAGGAAAAATATAAAGTATCAAGAAAAGTCGAACAAGTATTCTATTTGTTTATCCTTTAAAAATGTCTGGACATGTATAATGTTTTCTGTGATTTTTTAATGATTTATCGAACGCTTACTTTATCTATAAAGTTGGCTATAACTTAAGTTCAGATCATTTTGCTATCAATTTGTGTTTAATTTCATTCGCACCTTTCCTTTTTAAAACCACATTCCAAAGGAAAATCTGAATTTCAACAAGTATGCAAAACAGGCACAATGATAGATTGCAGGTGTGCTTTTAGGTAAACACCAGTCTGTACTTGTATACAGAATGTTAACAGCTACAAACCTTAATTACCAGGTATACTGACTGATTACAGCTACACACATGTAATTACCAGGTATACAGACTGTCTACAGCTACACAACTGTAATTACCAGGTATACAGACTGTCTACAGCTACACAACTGTAATTACCCGGTATACAGACTGTTTACAGCTACACAACTGTAATTACCAGGTATACAGACTGTCTACAGCTACACAACTGTAATTACCAGGTATACAGACTGTCTACAGCATACAATTGTAATTACCAGGTATACAGACTGTCTACATCTAAACACCTGTAATTACCCGGTATACAGACTATTTGCATCTAAACACCTCTAATTACCCGGTATACAGACTGTCTACAGTGTAGAACTTTAATTACCAGGTATACAGACTGTCTACAGTGTAGAACTGTAATTACCAGGTATACAGACTGTCTACAGCTACACAACTGTAATTACCAGGTATACAGACTGTCTACAGCTACACAATTGTAATTACCAGGTATACAGACTGTCTACAGCATACAACTGTAATTACCAGGTATACAGACTGTCTACAGCTACACAATTGTAATTACCAGGTATACAGACTGTCTACAGCTACACAACTGTAATTACCAGGTATACAAACTCTCTACAGTGTAGAATTTTCATTACCAGGTATACAGACTGTCTACAGCTACACAACTGTAATTACCAGGTATACAGACTGTCTTCAGCTACACAACTGTAATTTCCAGGTATACAGACTGTTTACATCTAAACACCTGTAATTACCATGTATACAGACTGTCTACAGCTACACAACTGTAATTACCATGTATACAGACTGTCTACAGCTACACAATTGTAATTACCATGTATACAGACTGTCTACAGCTACACAACTGTAATTTCCAGGTATACAGACTGTTTACATCTAAACACCTGTAATTACCATGTATACAGACTGTCTACAGCTACACAACTGTAATTACCAGGTATACAGACTGTCTACAGCTACACAATTGTAATTACCATGTATACAGACTGTCTACAGCTACACAACTGTAATTACCAGGTATACAGACTGTCTACAGCTACATAACTGTAATTACCAGGTATACAGACTGTCTACAACTACACAATTGTAATTACCAGGTATACAGACTGTCTACAGCTACACAACTGTAATTACCAGGTATACAGACTGTCTACAACTACACAATTGTAATTACCAGGTATACAGACTGTCTACATCTAAACACCTGTAATTACCAGGTATACAGACTGTTTACATCTAAACACCTGTAATTACCATGTATACAGACTGTTTACAGCTACACAACTGTAATTATTAGGTATACAGACTGTTTACATCTAAACACCTGTAATTACCCGGTATACAGACTGTTTACAGCTACACAACTGTAATTATTAGGTATACAGACTGTTTACATCTAAACACCTGTAATTACCAGGTAAACAGACTGTCTACAGCTACACAACTGTAATTACCAGGTATACAGACTGTCTACAGCATACAACTGTAAATACCAGGTATACAGACTGTCTACAGCTACACAACTGTAATTACCAGGTATACAGACTGTCTACAGCTACACAACTGTAATTACCAGGTATACAGACTTCCTGCAGATATACGCTTATATGTGCATACCTTTATAAATAGGTATACAGACTGCCTACGTATATATGATATATTGCCAGGTAAAGATATTGTCTACAGATGCCCTTATGTAATTACCAGATATACAGGCTGTTTGCAGATACCGAACTGCATTTATCAGGTAATTAGCCTACATTTACGAACATGTACATTGTGGACATGCGCATACCTGTGTAATACATACACG